TCTCCTGAACTGCAAAGTGCTACATAAACGTAAGCCATTGTTATTTGTCATCAGCAAGCATTCCAAAGATAAATATAAACCACTCCAGGATTATCGACTAAAACCTTTTCACAAAGGTTGGGGGGGAGGGGTCATTCCAATAGCTACCTCAGATCCCAGACTCTGCAGGGGCTTCCCTGATATCTGGCATGGTTCCTGGGGCTAAGAATTCCAGGGTTCCAAATCCCTCTTCCCTTCATTATGGTCACCTCCGGCTTAGGGGCCCAGGCCTGGCATGGTGTGGCCAAGCCCCCGAGTAACAGGAAGGACAAGATTCTTGGCCAGCTTCCTCTGCTGGGAAGGGGGCCAACCCGAAGCAGGGAAGCCCCAACTTTAGTTGGCCCCATGGCTGGGTCAGGCCAGTCTTAACCCCTAGCAGACCAGTCTGCCCATTGTGGAAGCCCCCCCATGCCTGTGGGAAGACAGCCTCTGCCCTTGTCTTCAAGAATAGACCTTGGGAGGGGCAGCTAGGTGGCGCAGTGGATAGAGCTCCGGCCTTGGAGTCAGGAGGACGTGAGTTCAAATCCAGTCTCAGACATATGACGCTTACTAGCTGTGTGACCCTGGAAGTCACTTAACCCCAATTGCCTCTCCAAAAAAAAAAAAAAAGAAGAGACCTTAGAGAACATCTAGCCCAACCTTTATTTCTGAGTTGAGGAAAATGGGACCATAAAATGGAAATGACTTATCCAAGGTCACATAGCTAACTGGTGGCCAAACTAGGACAAGAGGTAAAGTCTTCTTCACTCTCAAACTCTAATATAGTGTCCCAAAATATAGTGTATGTTTTTATTAATTTTTTAAAGAATTAAACTGCACTAAAACTTTTGGGACATGGTATAGTAAGCTGCCTATTTTATAAAAATAATCCAAATAATCCTCCCATTCCATACACACACACACACACACACACACACACACACACACACACACCCCACCAGGAAAATGAAGTGACCCTTGTCCTCCTGAGCCCAATCATGGTGGGAAGGGTCAATGCCAGTCTCACTGTGCTAGCAGAAGGCGTTCCAGAGAGATGGAAAGCAGGGGTGAGAGACAAGTCAGGATGTAGGCCAGGTCACCGGTCCCCTGGGCCAAGTCGGACTCCAGGCACTAGGCCACAGCACTGCTCTCTCATCCCCACCCCCAGCCAGGCTTGCTTCCCATCTTGCTCTCAAGTTCCAAGGGAGGAAGCCAGGAGAGTTGGACAGGACCAAGACTGAGGCCTTTCTTTCTCTAGAGGGAGGCAGGCTGGTGGCAGTGTCTGGGGCTCCTATAGAGGTGTGGGCTAGTGCCTCTCACACTCATTATTCCATCAGCTTGGGGGAAGCAGGACAGGCAATCACAATATCTCCATAAGAATCTCCAAGATTAGATAGTTCAACTTGTATATGAGTAGAAAACTTCTCTACAAGCCCATCCAGAGGGAATCTTTTCCTCTGACCCCCAGAGAATTCAGACCTCATCCCATGTGCCTGCAGAAGTCGGGGGACGGGGCCGGACGTCAAGGCACTTGGGCTTCAATCCAGGGTCTGCTGCTGACTAGATGTGTGACCTTGGGGCAAGGCCCTGCCTCATTCCGGGCTTCCATGTTTGGGTCTGAAGAGCTGGCTGCAAGAATGTTGAGTCAGGAGAAGAATTGGGGGATACATGGCACCTGCCTTAGGGAAGTATTAGAAGGGAATAAAGTTCAGATTTGTTCTGCATGTACCCAGAGGCACAACCAGGAGCAAAGGGCAGGAACTGCAAAGGGGCTGATCCAAGCTTGTTTTAAAGACCAGCTTCCTGACAATTAGAGGGAAATGGGCTGCCTTCTCACTTACAGGTCTCCAAGCAGAGGGAGGGAGGAAGGGAGGGAAGGAGAAAGGAAGGAAGGAGAGAGAAAGAAGAGAGGAAGGAAGGAAGAAAAAGAAAGACTTTATTAAGCACTTTCTATCTGTTAAGAACTGTACTAAATGCTCAGAATACAGCTAGAAGCAACAAGAAAAAGCAGTCCATGCCCTCAGGGAGCTTGCATTCTCATGGATGAAGTTGTTGCAGTTGTTGTTGGGTCTCTTCAGTCATGTCTGACTCTTCACGACTCCTTGGACCTCTCTCCATGGGGTTTTCTGGGCAAAGATACTGGAGTGGTTTGCCATTTCCTTCTCCGGTGGCAAACAGAGGTTAAGTGACTTGCCCAAGGTCATACAGCTCACCAGTGTCTGAGGATGAGTTTATATCCAGGTCTACCTGACTCAAAGCCCAGTGCCACCTAGCTGCCTCTTAATGGATGAAGACAAATACAGAAAAGGAAGCTGAAAAAGGGGACAGGAGAGAAAGGTGCTCAGTTGGGGATAAAGCAAAAAAGTAATATAGGGCATCATGGGCTGAGCCAAGTGTGAAATGAGCATAGCTCCTCAAATGGAAGTTCTGGGGAGAAACTCACCAATGCAAGGAGGCCACAAGGGTGGAGGCACCTGGATCATAAGAAATGACCTGGCAGCAGACAGCTGGACTACCACTCTGTGCCTCTCTTAGTGCAGCCTCTAAGACCGAGTTCAGGGGTGGGGACGTGGGGAGTGGGGCAGGAAACCACCATTTCACACAATTGAATCCTATTAAGCTTACAATCCAATGGAAGAAAACCCAAGCCTCTCTCATATGGGGATGATTATCCCCATTTGACAGATGTAGAAACTGAGGATCAAGTTAAACGACTTAACCTAAGTCATAGAGCAAAGAAGTGGTGAAGCCAAGATTCAGAAAATGTCAGAACTAGACTGGACCTTCCAGACTAGGGGTTCTTAACCTTTTGTGTATCAGCAACCCTTCTGCCAGTCTGAAAGCCTATGGATCCCTCCTCAGAATGTTTTCAAATGCATCAAATAAAATATAGAGGATTACAAAGGAAACCAATAATACTGAAATGCAATTCTCAATATGAAAAACTTTCATGAATTCCAGGTTAAAAGAACCCCGGTTATAGACCATAGCTCTAAGTCTAAAGAGGAAGAAACTAGACCCAGACAGGACAAGGGACTTGAAATACTCAGACCTTTGCACTGAAAGGCCAGAGTGTCCTCTGTACTATGCCATGAAGTCTGCTGCCTCCCATCCAGCTCTGCCTCTCAGGGCTCTGGGTTCATATTAGGATGGGAATGAATCTCCTCCCGTGATATGCCCACTCCCTGGGTCTGCCCCCCTCCACCACTGGAAACAGGTACCCTAGAAACAGAGGAAGGGGAAGGAGATCACGAGCCACCTCCTCAGGCCCCTGGGGCCAAGGTGGGACAGACACCCCGAGCCCACCAGGCTCATTGTGACATCAGTAAGATCAGACGGGTTTGTGTCTCATGGAGGTTTGTAATATATTTGGCATGAGAACAGACATACAACCAAAACCAGAGAAGCCTAGACGCACCCGGACAGAGACAGAGTCAGAACCATCAACACAGGAGAGAGAAAGAGAGAGGGGCAGAGATGGGGGGGAGCAGTGATCAGAGACAGAAGGACAGACTACGAGTTAGACTGAAAGACACGCTCACACAGCTCCCCCAAATCCCTGGGAGAGGCAAGAATACCAGAGGTGCAGAGTGCTACATATATGTTTAAAATGAGTTTTGCTTATTGTTTTTTTCTCTTCTTCCTTTCTCTTTAAAAAATGTACTCTGTTCTAAGAGAAGAAGAGAAGAGGGAGGGCTACAGGGGGATATGTAGGTGATGTAAAAATGAAAGATATCAATAAAAATTTCTTTTGAAGAAAACATGATGAGAAAGAGATGGAAAGAGAGGGGGACAGATGGAGAGATAGAGAGATGGAGAGAGAAGGGGGGGAAGGGAGAAGGGGGGAAAGAAACAAAAACAGGAAAAGTCAAAGAAATACGCAGAAGCACAGGAAAATAGAGATATCCCATCGAGGGGTGATAGACAGTCACAGAAGGCAGCAAACAGCAAGGGAAAGACCGAGGCAGACTAGGAAACTGAATGGAGGTGCACGCCCACAGGTACCCTTCTCCTCCGCTTATCTGGCTCCAATGGCTTAGTTCAGGTCTCTTCCTCTCAGTTCCAAACCAGCTCAGCTGGACCTGACCCTAACCACTCACTGTTGTGATCACTGCTTCTTGGACAGTCCCAATCATAGAAGCCACTGAACATAACTATTTTTATAATTAACCCTTATAAAAGAATAATTCTAATAACCAGAGGGATTGGTGGGGCTACAGCTCAGCCTAAGGGAATTTCCCCCAGACGCCTGAGTTTGTATCTTGGCTATGGTACTCCCCAGCTATGTAAGTGGAGCTTAACATTTTTTTGAAGACCTCAGTTTCCTCATCTGTAAAATGGAGATAAAAAGGTTAGTGCTATCAAGCTCACAAGGTCCGTGTAAGGAAAATGCTTTGGAAGACATCAAAATGTCATGGAAGAAGTATGATTTTGTTATCAATTCGCCCCAGTTCTGATATTGACTCCAAGTGCCTGTAAGCAAGGCACTCAAACGTGGACAAACACCCCCAAGCAGGAGGAGCTGGGAAATAACTGCTTTTCATCTTCCCTTTAAAAATTAAAACCCTGACTGCCTAGGCAGTTGCAGTGGTTCAGACAAAGGTTCTAACTAGGCTCCTGAAATATTCATGTGCATCAGAGCCCAGGGGACCTTCGGCATGGGGGAGGGTTTGTGCTTAGAGCTGGGCTGCCGGTGGCCTCCTCCCCCAAAGACAGCCACATTCCACCCCCTCCCACCCAGTCCCTAGCCAGGGGCTTCTGCTCCACCTCTGAGACAGAGTGGTATAATGGGAAGACTCCCCAGAGTCAGGAAACCTAGGTTCCCATCACCTATTTGCTCCCAATTCCCTGTGCCATCTCTGACGACAATTCACTTTGTCTAGACCCCAGTTTTCTCATCTGCAAAATGGAGAGGGAGAAGAACAGTAATATATACAAAAACCACCCAAAGAAGTCACTGAACTCAGATCAACTGCACTCACCAATCCTGGTCACAGAAAACAGATGACAAGACCTGAAGGAGAGCTCAGGCCTGGGAATCGGGAGGCCTAGGTTCAAATCCCAGCCTGTCTGAGCCTAAATCTTTTCTTCTCTCACTAGACAGGTGGGGGAATAGTGATGCTGAATGTCCCATACACAGTCAGATAAGGTCATCTTGCTAGAGGCAGTCTGGTGGCAAGGCACGGAGAGTGCTGGAGTTGGAGTCAGGATGACTCTCGTTAGCTGTGCGACCTTCAGTCAGTCCCTTATCTTCTCAGTTTTCAGTTTCCCCATCTGTAAAATGGGAATAATGCTAATAACACTGTGGAAATATTTTTTTAAAATCTTGTTTTTAGTAAAACTGAAAATATTAAGAATAATATTTTCCTCTAAAGCCCTTTCCTGACTCCTAGGAAAAGCCCCTTGGAAAAGACCTTTCTTAAAGAAATGGCTTTTGGGTGATAACCAAACTCAACTTTATGTAGGTTCAAGGATGGCAAATGAGTTTCTCATCAATTCTGGTTAATTCTCCTTGTTCAAGAACACACCCTCCTCATCACTCTCAGAGCTGTCAGGGATGTTCTCTCTCAGTAAACCAAGCGCTCCAAGTAGTTTCCTCCCCCAGGGTTCAGGGTTGGCACTGAGCCATTCCTCCTCCGGTCCCCCAGAGACCCCCAAAGATCAAGGTCAGCTTGCAGCCAAACAAGACAATTCAAAGCCGCCAAGGGCACCCCTCACCACTACACTCTCAAGCCATTTTACAAAAACTGCCTACCTGTCCTCTCTGCCTCCATCCACCTGCTCTTTCTCCCTTGTTTCGTTCCCATTGCCTTTGAGAGGTAGCTTGGTGTAATGGACAGTGCTGGGCTTTAGCTAGGAAGACATGGGTTCAAATCCAGCCTTGGACTCTAAATAGATGTGGAACCTCTTCAAGCCTCAGTTCCCAGTGTGGTTGTAAGGATAAAATATGATATTTGTAAAGCATTTTGCAGGTCCTAAAGGACTATATAAATACTAGCTGCTATTATTATCATGATTATTATTATTATTTTAAAAGTAAAGAGATGAACTCAATTCAATAAGGTCCCTTTCAACATTCAATCCCATAATACTCAGACTTTTTTTTTCAGGCTACTACCCTTCTGCTAGCCTGGTTTCAGGATGATCAAGACCTCCTTTGGGCATTCTTCATCTTATAGGAGGATCATAGGATTGGGAGCTGAACGGAGGTTATTTTTTTTAAATATATATTTTTATTTTGCTGTTGTTCAGTCGTTCTAGTCATGTCCAACTCTTCATGACCTCATTTGGGGTTTTCTTGGCAAAGGTATTGGAGCGGTTTGCCATTTCCTTCTCCAGCTTGTTTTATAGATGAGGAAACTGAGGCAAACAGGGTTAAGTGACTTGCCCAGGGTCACACAGCTAGTAAGTGTTTGAGGCTGAATTTGAACTCAGGAAAATGAGTCTTTCTAACTCCAGGTCTGGCACTCTATCCACTGCACCAATATTTTGTTATATATTTCCCCATTTACATGTAAAGTATGTTAATATTCATTTTTTCTGGACAGGGTTTTTAAATGCTTCTAGTCCAACCCCTTCTCCCTTAAAGATGGGAAAACTGAAGGCCAGAAAGAGTTGGCCTGTTGACAAGGATAAAGGTTAAAGGCAGCCCCCCGGGGTCCAGGAGCTCACAGTCTATTGGGAGAGACAACATGTAAAGAACTGGGTCTGAGCAAGATGGATGGGGCTACAGGGAAGACTCCAGTCAATGAAGATTCCACCCCAAGGTGCCCAAGATTCCACCAAAATCACAGAGTCACAGAGTAGGATTCAAAACTAGGACACAGGATAACAGATTTCAAGCTAGAAGGGAGCTTGGAGGTCAAGTCTAACCGCCTCATTTTACTCCTTTATGGGTGATTGTCCAATGGTCAGCTAGATGGCAAATGACGGATCTGGGATTTAAACCCATGGCCTGTGATTCCAAAATTCTGTAGAACTATACATTATACTCCATATGGAAACTGATGAGGGCAGAGGGCAGTGAGACTGGTACCTCCCATTATAATGATAACAACCTAACCCCCATTTCTCTAACACATTAAGATTTAAAATGTAGCATCTTCACAGCCACCCTGTGAGGTGAGCGCGGTAGCATTCTGGAGACAAGAAAAGAGGGTTTTAGGTGGGATTAGAACTCAAGGCACCTGACTCTAAGTCCACTGCTTTTTTCACCAAGCTATCACCCAAAAACCACAGCTTTCAATCAGTTGAGTGATAAAGCCCAAACTGCAATCGAAGGCTTCTGATACTCAGTCAAAGTGGCTTTCCTCCACATCACATGAGATCTCTCTGTGCTCCTAATCAGAGGGGGGAACCTGCGCCTTGAGGCTACACGCAGCCCTCTAGGTCCTCAAATGTGGCCCTTTCAAAGGCCTCAAGGTGCCTGGTTCCCCACCCCAGCCCCAAACCCTCTATGGGCTGGGCATTTCCCTTCCATTCTCTCACCTGACTCTCACAACATTCCTGGAAAGGAGGCAGGGACTTGGATATACCAACACCTCAACCCCCATTTTACAAAAAAAGAAAATTAAGGAGAAAGGGCCATGACTTCCCCCGAGGTCACGTTAAAGTATACAGCGAAGATGAGATTCGAACCCAGGCTCCTTCCACAACAACCACACATCTGGGCATTAAACTTCCACTCATGTAGCCTGAGATCAAATTCCTCCCCACCTTTTTTTTTAAAAGCAGCTGCAACATACTGCCGCCTGGAATTCAGCACACTCAACCCTGCTTAAGTCTCTTTCTCCTATGGAAAAAGGCAAAATGCAGGAAATGTTTCATAGCCAGCATACAAATCAGTGATCAGATAGACAAACGCAGAGGGAGACGAGGTCACAGAGACAGAGATGGCCTCAGTGACACAGACACATACAATGAGCTCCTCATCCTAGGTGAGAAGGCCCCTCTATTCTCACAGATGCCTGGCCCTTGGGGGGCCCATCTCCATTTGCTTCCCACTGCTCTGTTGTGCGGACACCACAGTGATGCCCACGTCCCCACCTACTCCCCTGGGTACGAGACATGGGGCATCCCCCCCTTCCCTGCTCAGGGTACCAGTGGTATCAGCAAGTACCGAGGGGCCTGTAAAGGGCCGGTCCTGGGCTGCCCCTGGAGCCTCCTTCAAAGCTCAAAGCAAAAGTTCTCTCTTCCCCTCCCCCCAACTCCCCATCCCTGGACATTTGCTCCCCTGACATCAACACTCTGATAACCACCGTCCTTTGGACCTTGAAGATAAACCAGCTGTGACAAGGGAGCTTAAGGAGTTGCCATGGAAACAAGTGGGGTAGGTGGATCGGTGGAATAGTGGGAGGGGGGAAGAAACATACTTTAAGTGAAACTTTCAGGGAGTTCCTATGTATCTCCTGGTCTTTCCTCTACTTTCCCTAAACCAGGGAGCTGGGTGGCCAATAGCATCCCCGGAAAGTTTCTCTGTGTGTGTGTGTGTGTGTATGTGTCCTTCCTCTCCTGGAGATGTCCAGTGTCCTCTGGCCATGCCAAGTACCCTCAGTAAAGAGTACCCAAAACCTCCACTTCTCCCTCTCTCTGAGCCATCTCACAGCTACCTGGTCAAATCGGCCCAATTAAACCTTTCTGGTGACTTTTCTCAGCTCAGAATCCTCCAGTGGCCTCCCACGGCTTACCAGGACCCTGGGTAAGCTAAATCTCAATCTGTTTTCCCATCTGTAAAATAAGGTGATTGGCCAAGATTTCTAAAGGGCCCTTCCAGCTCTGAAATTTTTCATTCTAAACCACTTTCCCCAGTCCCCAAGCTTTGAGTTTTAATTTTTTTTTTGCCTGTGCCTATAGGGGAAGCATGGAATAGTGGATAAAGAGCTAGCCTTGACGCCAAGAAGCCACTGACACATTTGCTATGTGACCCTGGTTAACTCACTTCAGACTTCAGTGTTCTAGACTTAAGAGTTGCAGAGAAGGGTGGGGCAGCTAGATGGCACAGTGGATAGAGCACTGGCCCTGGAGTCAGGAGGACCTGAGTGCAAATGTGACCTCAGACACTTGACACTAGCTATGTGACCCTGACCAAGTCACTTCATCCCACCGCCTTGCAAAAAAAAAGTTTCAGAGAAAGGGCCAACTACTTGGGAGGGGGAACTTCCTAGCCTGGAAGTTTCCACTGTACTAATGAAATCACAAGTCTATCCATTATCCCTATCCCTAGCAAACAGTACAGCTTAGCCAATGCCTGTCAACTGACATTCTCCATGGAGAGAAAGGCCCCTTCCAGCTCCACCATTCTGTGTTTTAAGGCCCTTTCTAGTTCTCACACTCTGTGTTCTCTCATCACTCTTCAACCTGGCATTTGAAACTTTTAATCCTCAATACTTCCCTCCCTGTCTCCTCTCCTCTCACCAAACTGGATTCACCATTCCCACATTCACTTCTGTGCCCTGCCTGGACTGCCCTCTCCTTCTGCCTCTACAGAGGCCCAGCTTAGGTGCCACCTCCTCCAGAAAGCCCTCCCTCTTCTAACCACCCCTCCCCCAGGCAAGAGCATTTCAGTGGCACCTCTCTGGTATGCTTAGCTTGTATTTCACATGACGCCTATCTCTGTGTGTATCTTATGCCCTCACACCCTATACTGCGAGCTCCCTGTAGGCAGGAACTCGGTCTTATCTGTCTCTCCCTCAAACCCCAGAGCATTCAGCCAGGACTACAGTCAGCATTAGTAATTACTTGCTAAACTGGAAAGAATGGTTAACTCAAATCAATAACACAGGAAAAAGACTGTACTAGGTCAGGAATCAAGAGGTTTGGGTTTGAGGTCCCTGCCTTGCTCCTGGGCAAACCACTTCCCTTCTGAGTCTCAGTACCTCCTCCCACCCCCTTTAAAATGAGGGGGTTGGGCTTGACCACCAATTTCCCCAAGCTGTAAGGCCTATACCTACGTGGCTTTGCGTAGGGCCGTGTGCCACTAAAGATTCTCCCTCTGTGCTCTGCTTTGCATGGGAGGATGAGTATGTTAAATGGGACCAGGTCTCCACCCCAGACATTTTCTTTAATGGTAGAATTTCAGGCAATGAGGCAGGCCAGTAGGGGAGGCATCAAGGGGATCAGAAAAGACCAAAAAGGCAGGATGATATAGGAGAAAGAACATAGAACCGTGGCCAGGACACCTAGGTTGAGTCCTGGACCCATCACTTATTCAGTGTATGACCCTACCACTAAGTTATTCCATGGATGACCCTTTGTGACTTCATTAGGCTGGGCCT